TATATATATATATATATATATATATATATATATATATATATATATATTTATATGTGTGTGCATATGTGTGTGTTGATATACTATTAAAATAATAACTTTCTATTTTAAAACATGTCATAATGTGAGGTAGTGTAAATGAATTTATATTGTGATCTCTATGTTCATAGAATGGATATATATAAGTTGTACATGTGAATAGATTATTTTTAAATAGTTTAATTATAAATGATTATTTTATACTAATAACATTATTATTTACAAAAATATATTTAATGACAGTGAGAACTAAGAAAAACTTCAAATTTAACATTAGAAAAAAAATTAAAAGCCTAAAAATACAGAGGAATTGTAATAAAATAAAATAAATTATAATAAGTTAAGGGCTTGCAAACTCAAATGCTGTATAAAATAGTATTTAAAACAACATTATGAATTGATGAAATAAATTCATCTGTCAAATAATTAATCAGCATTTTAATTATATACGATATTTTTTATTATCAAAATGAAAAAAAAAGTACAAGACAATAAAAACATCTGATTACAAAAAATTAGGTTAACAAAATTTAATATTTATTTGTGAATTTCACATGATACTATCTTCTTCTTTAATTATCCAGATTTTTAAAAAATCTCGTAAACTTTACAATACGTTGGGATATCCACTACAGTATTCTATTATATTACATTTAATGAAATGTCCTTGTTTTTTTATAATAACTACATGTGTAAAACCTAATTTTATTATAGAGATAATATTTTTTTTTTAAGTAAATAAAACATATAAACTTCAGAAATAAATTTATAATCAATTATTTTTAAATTTAATTTGATCTCTTTATAATTATAAATTGGCTTATCTTTCTTTTTATAACTTTTGGTGAATTAGTTATCCATTTTATAAATAAATTAGTTTTAAACTTGTGTGTAATGAGTCATGATTGATTTTTGTATGTTATTAAAAATATTGAAAGGTTAAAGGAATAAATAATAAATAATAAATTTATAATTATGTTTTAAATAAAATTAGCGTGAAAAATTATTTATATTTTTAAGTTAATATGTCTATAAAAATATAAATAATAGATTTTGTAAAAATATAAAAGATAAAGTATGTGCAAAAATATAGAATAAATTTTCTAAAATTATAAAAGGTATACAAAAATACGTAGAGTAAACTCGTTAAAAATATAAATCAATGTATGAATTGATCTAATGTGTATTGCTACTTAACCCGTGCATTGACAAAAGTCTAATATGTATTAATAGACTCATATAATTTGTATATGGACACATTTATCTAATGTGTGTTGTTATGTTTATCTATTCAGTATATGGACAATTTTGTTTAATATATATTGCAATACTTGTTTAATCAAT